GGGAGCAGGGAGGGCAGTTGGGCAGTTTGGGAGCCAGGTCCTGCCCAGGTGCCAAACTCTTCTCCCAGCCTGGCTTCTGCACAAGGTTTCTGTGCCGTGGGTGCTGGGGCAGGTGAAACCCCAGCTGAGGGAGAAGGACCCTGGCTCAGCTCCCAGCAGCACCTGATTTAGTGGAGGGACACAAAATCTCCACTGCCATGGAAATGTGCCCACATGAGCATCCTCCCAGATGGGCCCTTCTCCAGGCCAGGGGCTGGACCATGGCTTTTGGCTGCCGCACGCGTCTTGTGGGGAAGCTTTCTCCATCCCCCTGGCCCTCTAACAGCACTGAGGGAGCGGTGCCCTCATCCTCAGTGCTCCCAGCCCTCTTGTACCTGTCCACAAGTACTGCCCCGCACACAGCCCAAACTGACATCCCTGGCAAGGCAGCAGGGGGGCAGGGGTGGGAGCTGGAGGGGAGCAGGAGGAGGGTTGCCCAGGGCTGCTCCGGGTCTGCAAGGCAGGAGGAACAGCCCATGGAGACTGGGGTCCTGGCAGAGCATGAGGAGAGAGAATCCCAGCCACGTGTTTCCCAGGAGGTGGCTCTGCACCCTGTGCCAGGGCAGTGGGGAGCAGAGCTGCCTCCCAGGCATTGTGGGAGGTAATCCGTGGGCCATGATCCCACCTGGGGCTGGCTGGGGTGTTCAGGGACCTGCGGTCACCTTAGGGCTCGCTTCTGTGAGACAAAAGCCCAGGGCTCACCCTGACATGGCAGCTCTGTCGTGGCCTCTGCATGGTGGGATCGGTGTGGCCCAGGCAGGGCCTGGGGGAAAGAGCAGCTGGAACCCTTGGGGAAGGAAATGGGTGCTCCCACTGGGGTGCATCACGGGACCTATCAGAGAGTCACTTTGATTAGAAACTGCCTGTGGGCAGCAGGATGGATGTCTCTCTCACCAAGATTATTCCCCAGGGACCGTGGCCTCACGCAGCCCCACAGGCTGACCCCGAGCCCGCTGTCCCTGAGACGTGTCCCTTCCTTGCCATGGTGTCTCTGTTCTCTTCTCTCCCTGACCAGCCTCAGGAAGATGCCCTGACACCTGGTAGGGAAGCATCAGCTCTGGGTCAAAGCCCCCAGAGGCTTTTAATAAGCAAATATAAGAATGCACAGCATAAAAATGGGAATAAAAACGGAGGAAACTCCCAGCTGTTTCTGCTGCCCATGGCTCAAGGGAGACAGTCCCCTGGTGTTCGCGGCTCTCCCAGCTGCACAGACCTCTCCTCCCTCCCGGCTGCACCCAGCTGTGCAGCAGGGATGGGCTCTCCTGGCCTGGGGCTCAGGGACTGCTGTGCACCAAGCTCCGGTGTCACAGCCTTTGCGTCCTCACAGGGAAGTGCCACAGGCACCTCTTCAGCATCATCATAGCCCATGCTCCCCAGGGACAGTGACGAGGTGTCTCCTTCAGCTCCAGGGACGTCGGCACTTCTCCAGGAGCGCAGGCTGCCCCCTGCAAGCAGCAAGGCCGGACGTTTCAGTTCACCCCATGGGGTCTGTACACCACCACCCTCCCTGCTCCTCACCACCTTCAGCTCCTTCTCCCACCCCCGGGCCTTTCAAGGAAAACTCCCATGCCAGGTTCCCCCTTCCCAGCAGGTTTGGGTGTCAGTAGGGTAGTGACTTGAGGGGCACCAGGGATGGCACCCTAGGAACAGGCAGCGCTCTCTTTCCCTCTCACCTCCAGGTGCAGCCCTGGGCCCTGCTCCCTCCTCTGGCATCCTGGGCATTTCCCACTCTCCCTGCCCAGGCACAGCATCCTCCCCCGCATCAGGAACCTCCCTGGCATCATCGTAGCCATCTGCTGGGTCACCTCCGGGCAGGACAAGGACATCTGAAAGGAGAGGGGAGTTGGTGACAGTGAGAAGATCCGTCCTGCAGAGCAGAGGATGAGAGGATGTGCAGGGACACAGAGCGCAGACACTGGGCTTGGCAGAACCACAAGTGATGCCCATATCCTCCCCTTCTCCGATGGTGACACTCAGGGACACCTCTGTCCACCCCATGTCTGCAGGGAGATCAACCCCTTCCTGCCTCCGTTACCTGGTGCTGATCCCAGACCTTTCTCCTCCTCGCTGACCCCAGGGTGGGGCTGCAGCTGGGTCAGGGACTCCTCTGAATAGGAGCCTGGAGAGATGCACAGCAGGTGTTATGGAGCAAGCCCCACTGACGTGGTTCACGGTCAGCGCTGCTGGGGAAGGGGGACCCACAGAGCTGGGGCTATGTGGGGAGGAGGGCTGGGAATTCACCCTGCTCCCCCGGGACAAACCCTGTCTCAAAGGAACTTCCAGAGCTGGCCCAGGACAGCCCCTTCCCTCGCTCCTCGGGTGTCTCATGGGGTGCAGGGGCAGGAAGAGAGGGGCTGTCCAGCTGGGACAGTCAAAGCTGACTGGGAGAAAGCTTCTCTCCTGGTTCCAGGACCTGGATGCTCTCCCCACAGCCCCCACAGCCCCAGCACCACAGGGACCACAGGCTGGGGGGCTTCAGAGGGTCAGCTCCTGGTTGGGGCCAAAGGAAAGGGTCCTGCGGATGTGCCTCCAGGGAAGACCCACACCCACCTGAGCGATCAAACCTGGCCCGTTTCTCCCACGCTGGGCTGTACCCGATCTCCTCGTACACAGCCTCGGGGAAGGGCTCCTGGGCTCTTCTGGAGCCTGTGGACAGAGGCAGGGCTGGCACAGGGACAGGCAGAGGGGCAAAGGGACCCCACTGTGCTCCCCCAAAACGGTTCCATGTGCCACCTCAGGACTGGTCCAACAGCACAGCCCCACTGCACTGTCCAGGCACAGGTGCCACATCCCCAGTGAGGGCAGCATTGGTGTGAAGATTATCTGGGGCAGCATCACCCTCACATCATCCCTTTGGAGACAGTGCTCATGCCCCTCTGGCCTGTGCGCCATGTCCCCCTTGTCTCACCCCGGATATGTTCCCACATTTCCTCTCCACCTGGAGCTTGCCCCTACCTGCCCCTGTCCCACCAGGGGGTGGGCAGGGCTGGGCAGGGGGACAGCCTGGGGGCCTGACACCACGGTGATGGACCCTGCTGCCCCACACTCCTCCTAGCATCTCTCTTGCCCCAGAGCCCCCTCCAGCACTACCGAGAGCACTGCCAGCCTTGGCCATCCCCTCTCTGCCATTTCTCTCCTCACACCATGGCTAACTGCCCCCACCTCGGGGCTCTCTCCACCCCTTGCTGCTGGTGCCCCACAGCCAGGCACTCAACGGGGAAGCACGAGGCAGGTAGCAGCACACAGTCTCACCCTCCCGCTCTGCCTGTGCCCCTTGCTGACACCCCCCGCAGCACCCTACAGCCCTACCAGGAGGTATCTCCCCCCGGCACCTCTGGGCAAGGACTCACCTCTGCGCCCAGCCCCGGCGCTCAGCACTTGCCCAGCCAGGAGGGCCAGGAGCAGGCAGACAAGGGTCCCCAGGATGATGCACATGATGACGGGCACTGAGACTCTCCCGCTGCTGCTCTGATGGCCTCGGGTGGGATCTGCATGGGAGACAACTTCGAAGGGGCAGCACCCCAGGGGTGAGTGACAGGAAAGCTTCCACCATCCTGGGTAAATTATAGCTCTCCCCAACCCCCTGCCACCACTCCAGTATCTCCTCTAGGCAGTTTCACACCCCAGCTAGGAGCCCCTTCCATCCAGCTGTGGGTCACAGCCTGGCCCCAGGGGTACCCAGACTCCGGGGAGGACAAGTTACCTGCTCGGGGTGGGGGTGTTGTCGTCCTGGGTGTAGCTGCAGAGGAGGAAAAGGAGAGCTGGGCTGAGAGAGTGGGTGTGTGGGTATCAGGAAACCTCCTCCCCAACACACCGTGTTTGTGTGTGTGTGTGTGTGTGTGTGTGTGTGTGTCTCTAGATGTCCCTGACACATCCCACCCAAATTGCCCCTCCTGTAGTGCCAGAAAGGGAGGCCGGGACAGAGCCCAGCACCTCTGCTCTGGGAGGCAGGCAGGATGGCAGAGGCAGCCCAGGGGATAGCCCTGGGGCTGCAGGGCCCCACGGGCAGTGGCCAGAGCACGGCCAGTTACACCGAGGCTGCTCCCTGCCTGGCACCGGGCTCCTGCACTCCACAGGAATGTTCTTTCTCTCGGAAGGTCGGGGTCCATGCCCGGACCGCGTGGACAAAAGGCCTTCCCTAGTTCCCTGCTAATACCCGAGCAAAGGCTCCCAGCCCTGCCACTAACCTGAGCAGCGCACAGCAGCATCTTCCTTGTGCCGGCAAGCCCCGCTGTCCCCGGGCCGGGCCCAGCAGTCCTGCAGGGATGGCTCCGTCCCCTGGCACTCCACCTGCTCCAGCCAGATGGGGCCCGTCCCCATCCCAAATGCAGCCTCATGCAGGGCAGACACCACAGGGCCACAGCCCAGCTGCCTGCACGCCACCTCGGCATCCTGCATGTCCCACGAGTCGTCGCACACCGTCCCCCAGGATCCACGGTGCCAGACCTCCACTCTGCCCGAGCACCCGTCCTTGCCTCCCACGGCACGAATCTTCTCCCTGGCTGGAGAAGAGTAAGACCTCCCATGGCACCGGGAGAGCAGGCAGAGCCCTGCCAGACAGAGACGGGACCTCCCTACCTGTGCAGCTCGCGGAGTTGGGGCACGGCACCAGTGAGGTTGGAGGCATTTCTGGCTGTCCCCCTGAAGAAGGAAACACTGTGGTGAAGGGGCTGGTTTGGGGGATCATGCAGAAGAGAGCAGGGCTGAGCTCTGCTCGGGCCTCCCTGTACCATCTGGGTCACGGCAGCATCTGAAACCCTGTCATCCAGGGGACACGTGCAGGACTGTGGGGGGACCCTGATTGCTCATTCCCAGAAGGTCCCTGGCTCACAGAGCAGCAGTAGCTTGTCTATGGAGGGGAGGCTCTTCTGAAACATGTCTGGTCTCTTCTGAGACCTCACCTGGAGATGCCTCTGCCTCCTCCAGGCAGTGCTGGCAAGCTGGGTGGCAACTGTTGCTGGACATGTGTGGCCGCGGTCATGTTTGTGCCACTGACAGCATAAGGGTCTGGCATGGAAAGGAAAAGCCTCTCCAAGCTCTTTCTCTGTGTTTGGCCATGCCCCGTGGGAAGCAGGAGCTGGGGTGACACTGGTGCCTGGGTGGCTCAGAGTTACCATTGCAGGTGATGTGGATCTCCTCTTCCAGGTATTCACATGACTGTGGATTCCAGGGCGTGGAGGGACACTGCCAGAAGGAGCTGTTTCTCTCCCCACACTGAACACGATCCAGCCAGGCAGGGCCAGACACCCTGCCAGAGGACAGGCGTATTTCCAGGGATCCTCCGTCCCCGCAGCCCAGCTCCTTGCACGCCAGCATCACAGTGTCCTGAGTCATGGAGTTAGAGCAAACACTCCCCCATGTCCCGTTGTAGAAAACCTGCAGGCGCCCGGAGCAGCCGTCGCTGTTCTCCAGCCTCAGGGCCATGAACTCTGGGAAGAAAAGGCCCCAAAGCAGGAACAGGCTGATCTGGGGCTGTGGGAGCCAGGACACCTCTAACCCCCCAGGCCCTCAGCTGGGCAGGGGCAAGGCCAGCACATCCCCCTTGCACCCAAGGGCAGAGAGAAGTCCCGGATTTACAGCCAGCCCTGCCCTTCCCGGTAACCCTTGGGGACGGCTGAGCTCCCCAGGGACCCCCCGTGGGACTGAGGGTGTCCGTGCATGGGTGGGCCTTGGGCAGGAGCTCAGAGGCAGCCAGGGGCAGCCTTGGCCATGGCCGGCTCTCCCCGCGTCCTGCCCTCCCCGGGACCAGGCTCCCACCACAGCTCCTGAGGTGGCACAGACCTGAGCAGACGACTCCCGCATCCTCTTTGTGCCCGCAGTCGTGCTGCCCCCAGGGCCCAGCCGGGCAGTCCCAGAGAGCAGCTTCTGCCCCGGAGCAGTTCACACCATCCAGCCAGATCTGCCCGGAGCCTTCCCCGAAACGAGCGGAGCCGGCTGCCTCCACTGCCTCTCCGCAGCCCAGCTGGTGGCAAACGACGGCGGCATCAGACAGGTCCCAGCCGTCGTCGCAGACAGTCCCCCAGATGCCCTGGGAGTAGATCTCCACTCTCCCCGCACAGCGCCCAGCCCCGTTCACCAGCCGGACCCGCCGGCTCCCTGCAGCGGGTGGAAACCCCAGTCGCTGTCAGGGCCTGCTCGCCTGCGCAGACCGTCACCTGGGCGCCTGGGCAGTGCCACTCACCCCAGCAAATGACTCCCACGTCCTCCGCAAGCCCTGCCGCCAGCGCACTGCTGGGCAGGGAGGTGTTGCAGAGGGTCAGCTTGGCCTCGTGCCCTGCGCACCGGACCCCTCGCAGCCCCACGGGGCCCGTCCCTCGCTCAGGCTTCGGGGGGTTGTAGGCTGTCCCTGCCTCTCCGCACCGCAGCTGCCGGCACACCACGCTGGCCTCCTGCATATCCCACTGCTCATCCAGGACTCTGCCCCACTCCCCATCCTGGAAGATCTCCACTCGTCCATCACACCGGCTCACTCCGCCCACCAGCCGCAGGGATCCAAAGCCGGCTGGGCCTGGGGAGAGCAGAGATGCCACGGCCATCGGTGGCACCGGGAGCATGGCACCCTGCAGGGAGCAGGGCAAGGGGGGATTTTCAACCAAACGGGACAAGGTGGAGCCTTGTGCTGATGAGAAGCAAGGGCAAAGCCTGGGCCCTCCCTGCAGCTCACAGCCAGGTCAGCTGCTGCTGGGGGCACCAGCTCCTGCCTGGGTGTGGGGATGAGGCTCTGCAGGGCTCTCTGTGGGGACGGGATGCGGTCGGCTGCAGCCAGAGGGATGGAGCAGAGCCCTACAGTCCTGTCCTGGGCTCACTGCACAGTACGAGGACAGAGGAGCCCGGGCCTGGCAGTGGTGCTGGGGCCTAAGCCACTGCCCTGGGGGCAGATGCCTGCCTCCGTTCAGTTCTCAGCTCTCCCAAAGTCAAGCAGTCCATCTGAGCAGGGAAAGCCCTCCAGACGGTTCCTGGGGAAGCCAGGGTTTCCCCAAGGAGAAATTCAGCCTGATACGGCCATGGAACCCCTGCTTTTAGTGGCTATGTTGCACACAAGTTAGAAATGGAGCTCATGCAGCATTTTTCCAGCACTCACCTGAGCAAATGACAGTAGCAGCATTCCCTTGGGAGCACGGCGAGGCCCCCAGGGTGGTCACTGGGCACTGTTGCAGGAGGGCTTCAGTCCCGTCACAGTGGAATGAGTGTCTCCAGACAGGGCCAGTCTCTCTCCCAAAATGTTCTCCTCCAGGAATGGACTCAGCAAACCCGCAGTTGAGTTGCTGACAGAGAACGTGGGCATCCGAGAGATCCCAGCGGGAGGCACAGAGGGTTCCCCAGGTCCCCAGCACCTGGACCTCCACCCTCCCCGCACACACTGTGCTGCCGTTCACCAGTCTGATCCCTGTGTACTCTGGGGACAGAGGCAGAGAAAAGAGAGTGGATTGGTGCTCCTGTACCCTCAGTAGCTGGTGGAGGGGCCAGAGGGACAACATGATTTTGTTCTCCTTCTGCAGTATTGTCATGCTGCAAACAAACCCATCAACCCTTCCTGTCCTCACACCCGGCCCAGCACGGTCCCTGCTCTGTTCCCCAACCCCTACCACAGCCCCGGTGTTCAACAGCCCACCCTGAGTCCTTACCTGTGCAGTTCACAACAGCGCTGTTTGCGTGGGTGCAGGGCTGGTCCCGGGGGGACCCCCTGGGGCAGGAGGCGAGGAGGGATTCATTCCCCACACACCGCAGCTCTCCATCCCACATGGGACCCACCCCTTCTCCAACGTGACTTCCTCCAGCGACAGGCAGGGCTGCGCCACACTGCAACTCCCTGCAGAGCACGTCAGCAGCCTTGGGACCAAAGTGGGAATCACAGACACTTTTCCACAGGTTCCCGTCATGGATCTCCACACGTCCTGAGCAGTGGTTCTTCCCTTCCACCAGACGGACAAATCCTGGAAATAAATCAACTGGGAGTTCCCAGATCTTGGTGGCATTCCCCTGCCCACATCCCACACCACCTCCACACAAGCTGTGACCAAAATTGCTCACTGCACATCTCAGAAGAAGCTATTTAAGGAGTGATGGTGTCACAAAGGCAACCATGTCAAGTTACACACATTCTCTCCACCATCACAGCACTCAGGGGGGTGTGTCTATTGCAGACCCACAGCAGACTCTGCGAACCACGTTGGCACCGTTGGGACCAAAGTGTGAGTCACACACCACTGTCCAAAGGTCCTCATCATGGATCACTATACGTCCTCAGGAGGACCTGTGCCCTTAGAGCAGCCGGACAGATTCTGGACGAACCAATGACACCTGAGAGTTCCCACAGCCCTCTGGCAATACCCTGACTACATGCCAGCTGATCTCCAAGGTGGCCACAGGCAAAACAACTCTACGACATCCCCAGCTGCTCTCAGGGGGTGCTGGTGGCACAAACACATCAGCCAATGGTCCTGTGTCTGCTAAGGGGGACAACCGAAAAATAGCTCCCCATCTCACGCCCTTCCACAGGATGGTGGGTGGCCACAGGAGTCACTTCTGGTGCCTCTGGCATGGGGGCAGCTGGCCTGCAGCACTGCCAGACAGCTCCTGGGTGAACAGGAGGAGAAAGATGGCAATCAACAGACCATGCAGGGCAGGGATGGAGGGTTCATCTGCACCAGCTCAGGGACCAGGCACGGTAAGGCACCCTTGGGCAGGTTCCCACTGGCTTTCCCCAGGGACTGGGGACACCAGTAATGACAGTTCCAGCTCAGCAGTGCGACTGGCCACACTGGGCAATGCTCCGGTGCCTGACTGTTGCTCCATGAGGGCAAAGCAAGGTTCTTTCCACAATCTGAGCACCAGAGATATGGAATAGCTTGTCTCTTTACCTGAACACATCACTCCAGCATCCTCAGAATGCTCACAGTCATGTTCACCCCATCCTCTGCGTGTGCAGTCAGACAGGGCAGATTCGGTGCCATTACAGCCAACATCATCCATCCAAATGGGGCCAGATCCTGGCCCAAAGTGTCCGCATTGAGGAGCTCCAACAGCAGACCCACAGCCCAGCTGTTTACAAACCACTGCTGCATTCTTCATGCTCCAGTAGTGACCACACACGGTCCCCCACTTGCCCTGTTGTTTCACCTCCACTCTCCCAGCACAGCGCCTGCCGCCGTCCGCCAGCCTCACCTCCACAGCACCTTCAAACACCAAGATGGGATGGGTCAGGGGAGCACCGAGCCCCAGACTGTGGGTCTGGGGGAGCCCACTGCCAAGGTAGAATCAGAGGCACCAGGGTGGGAGCCCACTCCCCTCCAGGCTGTCCCCAGGGCAGTTCAGGGGTCCCTTCTATCCTCATGGGCTGTGCAAGGCTGCGGGTGCCCAGCTCCAGCCCTGCTGGGTCATTTGTGCCACCACAGACTTTGGCACTTCCTTCCACTCCAACAGCCCCTCGCCCCTGGCCCGTGCCCACCCAGGGCTCCTGCTCCTCCCCAGACAGAACCCTGAAAAGGGACCTGTCCCCACCAGAGCTCCCCCAGGCTCACACGGCTACTCCTCCCCAGATCCCCCAGCTCCCCTGGACCACAGCCTGGCCTGGGCCCCTCCCAACTCACCCTCCTCCCTCAGGACTTTCCGTGTCCCCTGTGGAGCAACATGATGGTCCCAGTGAGGCCTCCCAAACCATGCCCCCTCCTTGTCCTTTGGCATCAGCCCAGCCCTGACCTTGTCTGGGATCCCCGCAGGAAGCTCACCCCTTTGCAAGCCTGTGGGAACAGTTACCCCAGTTCCCTTGTCTCCACAAGCACAACCCACCCCCGGTCAGGCCGGGGATCACCCTGATTCCGGGACAAGAGTGAAGATCCCACACCCCTTCCTGGGTACCCCGGAGGCTGGCTGTGCCTCTGGGATGACAGAACAAGGAACCACCAGTTAAGGCACCACCAGCTCACAGGGAACAGAGCTGGCAGATCCAGGGCCCCAGGGACGGTGCCCAAGGATGGCAAATCCACACCCGGGTACCAACGGCCAGAAACGTGGGAGCCCTGGAAGCAGAAAAGCCCTTCTGCCACACAGAGAAGCACAGGCTCAGTGAACCTGTTCACTTTCTAGCCCTTGTCACATCGACACATGGGAAGAAGCCCCGTTTCCAGAGGGATCCCTGTGCTGCTCCTTGGCCCCAGGGCTTTGTGGCAGGGCAGCAGGCATTTCCCCCTGCACAACTGCACCCAGAGGAGCAGCTACAGTAACTAGGGGGACAGAGGGACTCTGTCCCCATCCGGAACCTTTCGGCAGCCGTGCACCAAATGCAGGAGGACAGAACAGATGCAAGACATTGGCTTCTGCATCTTTTCCTGTGTAACTGCAGACTGCAGGAGAAAACATCACCCCTCCTGTTCTCAGGCCAAGGCCAGCACAGTCCCTTCCCTCCTCCCCTGCCCCCGGCACAGCCCCAGTGTTCAACAGCCCACCCTGAGTCCTTACCTGTGCAGTTCACAGCAGCGCTGTTTGCGTGGGTGCAGGGCTGGTCCCGGGGGGACCCCCTGGGGCAGGAGGCGAGGAGGGATTCATTCCCCACACACCGCAGCTCTCCATCCCACATGGGACCCACCCCTTCTCCAACGTGACTTCCTCCAGCGACAGGCAGGGCTGCGCTGCACTGCAACTCCCTGCAGAGCACGTCAGCAGCCTTGGGACCAAAGTGGGAATCACAGACACTTTTCCACAGGTCCCCGTCACGGATCTCCACGTGTCCTGAGCAGCGGTTCTTCCCTTCCACCAGTCGGACAAATTCTGGAAAAATAAAGAAAATCAACAAATCAACTGGGAGTTCCCAGAGTCTTGTGGCATTCCCATTCCCACATCCCAGACCACCTCCATGCAAGTTGTGACCAAAGTCACACACTGCACATCTTAGAAGAAGCTGTTGGTGGAGAGTTGGTGGCACAAGCATATCCAGGCCCCTCTGCTCCCCTTCTCCATACTATTACAAGATCCAAATGTATGTGTCTGACAGACAGCACCAGGCACTGCTCCGACAAGCTGCTGCTGCACAAGGTGCCCTGTGCTGCCTTGCATGGTCCCCCCAGCACCGCAGTGGTGTGCACATTTTGGGTCCAGAGGAAGTGGCCCAGGTGTTAATGACTGCTGCAGCCTGCTTAGTCCCTGCAGAGCTTGGCACCAGGCAGGGCCATCACCTTGATGCAGCCATAAATGGCACCCGCTCCCAGGGGTGTGCCGGGGTGCTGGGAGGACCCTGTTAGCAGGGAGATGTCACAGAGCTCAGAAACAGTGCAGCTGTTACCATGGCTGGTGCCTGTCCAGACCCCTCCTATGCCTGCTGGGAGCGGGTCTCCTCAGCCAGGGACACAGTGCTCTGACCAGGGTGCAGAGGTCCCAAGCTAACGGTCAGGCAAAGGGGCAGGAGACCCACATGTGGCCCTGGGCTCACGCTGGCTCTGGAGGTGACAGCAGGCACAGCTGAGAGTCAGTAAGTGCTGCCCAAGCCCCTGTTTCGTGGGGCAGTGTGGGTTGCTGTGGGCAGGCAGGAGGGGCTAGGCAGCATATCAGTGCTGCCTGCATGGGGCCGTGTCCCTGCTGGGCTGTCACAGTCCCAGGGATGTAAGAGTGCCAGCTTGTGCATGGGTGATGCAGTCGGGAGCAGCCAAAGTCCAGCAGCTGCCGAGCTCCAAGGCCTCGCAGTGCTGGATCACAAAGCGCAGCCCTGGGGACAGGCGGCCAAGGGCTGTGTGCCACCCTGCTCCTCTGCCCAGGGACAGCACTCGTGCTCCCTGAAAAGCCGGTCTGATTCAGCTGAGGTACTCATGCCTGTGAGGGGGAATGAACCACGGGGACCAGCCACCTCATGCCACTCCTCCAAGGTGTGATGTTCTGAGAAAGTCCCGCCCTGGTTTCTCCAGCACAAGGCCCTCAGCACTGTTGGCTGGGAATGGGCAGACTGGGTGGAGACCAGTGGATACCAGTGGACACACTGGGGAAGGGACAGAGTGTTCATTTCCAGCCTAAGACACTGGCTGAAGAGGGGATGAGACACTGTGACAGGGTTAGTTCACCCTAGGTTAGGCTCACTCTAGGCTTTCCCCAGGGACTGGGGTCACCAGTAATGACAGTCCCAGCTCGGCAGTGTGACTGGCCACATTGAGCAGTGCTCCAGTGTCCGCTTGTTGCTCCCTGAGGGCACAGCCAGATCCTTTCCACTATCCCAGCCCCAGAGGTATGGAATAGGTTGTCCCCTTACCTGAACACATCACTCCAGCATCCTCAGAATGCTCACAGTCATGTTCACCCCATCCTCTGCGTGTGCAGTCAGACAGGGCAGATTCAGTGCCATTACAGCCAACATCATCCATCCAAATGGGGCCAGATCCTGGCCCAAAGTGTCCGTACTGAGGAGCTCCAACAGCAGACCCACAGTCCAGCTGTTTACAAACCACTGCCGCATTCTTCATGCTCCACTGGTCATCACACACGGTCCCCCACTTGCCCTGATGTTTCACCTCCACTCTCCCAGCACAGCGCCTGCCGCCGTCCGCCAGCCTCACCTCCACAGCACCTTCAAACACCAAGATGGGATGGGTCGGGGGAGCACCGAGCCCCAGACTGTGGGTCTGGGGGAGCCCACTGCCAAGGTAGAGTCAGAGGCACCAGGGTGGGAGCCCACTCCCCTCCAGGCTGTCCCCAGGACAGTTCAGGGGTCCCTTCTATCCTCATGGACTGTGCAAGGCTGGGGGTGCCCAGATCCAGCCCTGCTGGGTCATTCACCATCCCACCACACAAGGCACCTTTTCCCACCCCAATGGCCACCTGCCTCCTGCCCATGCCCACCCGCACACTGCCCAGCCCTGCACTGGACACCTGCTCCTCCCCAGCACCCCCTGAACAGCCCCGTTTACCCAGGCCTGCCGCTTCCCATGCAACTGCCTGCTGCAGAGCCAGCCAAACCCACCCCCATGCCCAGGGCTTTCCGTGTTCCCACTGAGACGATCCAGAGGATCCCCCACCCACATCCCCTTCTCATCCCTGGTGTCAGCCCAGTCCCTGCACTGGGCCAGATCCCCCAGGTAGGGTGTCTCTCTGCTGTAGATGCCCTGGTCCCCATCTCTCCATGGGGTATAAACTGTCTTCATGGGGTCAGGGCTCCCCTGGAAAAAGGGGGCAGTGAACAGCACAAAATCCCTTTGGGACATCCGAGACATTAGCAGTGTCCCAGGGAGCATCTCTGGGTGCTGCCATCACCAGCGAGTCCACCACCGGCTACAGAGGCACAGTGCGAGGGGACAGGGGGTCCCAAAAGGTACCCCAGGACAGGGTGTCTATGAATCCAGCCAGGCACAGGCTGCCCTAGACACTGGAACCCTGCAAAAGGAGATACTTTCTCCCACCCAGATGGGCCCAGGGAAGGGCACAGGGTCCATGGACTTGAGCACGTTGTGTCCATCATCTCTGTAGCACCTGCAAAGAATCCCCATTCCCAGACAGATCCCGATGACCACACTGGTACCCGCTATTCCTGGGCTGTGGGACAAGGGAGCCGGCACTTACCCCTGCACAGCTGTACCCAGAGGAGCAGCCCCAGCACCTGAGGGGACAGCAGCCCCTCTGTGCCCATCCGGAGCCTCCTGCCTTGCCAGCACATCCCTGCCGTGCCACAATCCTGTCACAGGTCCTGGGGACTCTCGAGGACAATGATGATGGGAGGGCAATATAGCTCTGTAGAAGCCAGGCCAGCTACGGGAGGAGCCAATAAAAGCAGCAGCACCTTTTTAGACATTATCGGGAGTTATCTCCCCTCGACACAGCCCAGCCCTCCAATGAACGTCTCCAGTGCCATTCATGACCATATATGAGGGATGGCTCTGCTGCAGGTGTCACATCACTGTGGTGGTGCGGCGTCACAGGACAGGGCTGGCTGTAGTGGGGGAAATGGGTTTTTCATGCCTTGAACCCTGCTGTGTGGACCAGGAGCACTGAGCATCTCCTATACTCGGCACATCCAAGAGCCCAAGGTGCGAGTGCCCAGCCATCCCCATGCCACGGGAACCACGGGGCTGGGACGGCACCGGGGATAGTGTCAGAAGGGGAAGGAAAGAGCCCCTGCCCCTGCTTCAGACCCCTCTGTGCTGGGAGCAGCAGCGGGGAAAGGGCCTCAGCCCAGGCCAGAGCCCCATCCCAGGAGCGCTGGCTCACCCGTCCCTCCCTGGAGAGCCCCATGGAAGGTCCCTTCAAACGAGCTGGGGCTGGGCCATGTCCCTGTCCTGGCAGCAGACAAGCAGCTCAGACGGATCCCTGACTCTCAGCATGTCAACGAGGGGCCGTTATTCCCCACGGGGGGCTTGGGAGCTGCAGCCTGCAGGTGCACAAACCACAGCCCACGTGGCCTCGCAGTGCTCCTCGCGCTCCCTGCGCAGCACCCGAGCAGGAAGTCTGTGGTTTCCTCCTGGAGCTGAGCCCGGGCACATCCCCGCGGTGCCCCCGAGCCACCCCCACCCCGACTGCTCCAGCCAGGGCCGCAGGGGCTGCTCCTTCTGACATAGAAATTCACTCAACACTTAGAATCCAGTAGAACTGCTGAGCATCTATTCTTTATTAGCAGCGCTGGGCAGCACTGGGGATCGCTCCACCACGAGTGCTCCCACAGACAGGTACAATCACAGAGAATATGTGCTGTGAGCTTGTACATATTCAGTGGATTTCTGAGAACTAATCTACATATACATAAGATTTCCTAGAATTTATCTACATAGTCCGAGCATGTGTGATAAAATTAGGGTTAGGGTCTTTTCCCCCTCTGGTGGTCACTCATAGTCTTCCTCACAGTGTCCGGTGATTGAACTTTGGGATTCCTTTGCCCACATATGGTCATGCAGTTAGCTCATCCATTCTTTGGCCCTGGGATGCTCCAAGAAGGTCAGTTTAAACTAATTCCCAGGTGATTATCTTGACAGTGGCGTCTTAGGCCCTTGTTATCAGGGGTACTCAGGAAACTTAAGGAACCATCTCAAGGCCTACTTACATTTTCTAAGGGAGACGTTGCATATTTCAAAACATCTTGATATTAATTCTGCCTAGCAGTTGACTAAACTATGTGAGTGAAAGGAAGAAAATAATATGAGTAGAACATGCTGACCAACTAGGATTCTACCATAAACAACTTCTTTGCTCTAAACAAGAGAAATAGTTTTGGCCTTCTCTCACTTCCTTCTCAAACTTTCAGTCCTTGACTGGGCTCCATCTCCACCACTGTTCCCAAATCCGTGGTCAATTCCCTGCAGGACACCAGGGCCATCTCCTGCCAAGGGTGTGTGGCTCAGCCTGCACTATGGGACCCTCCTGGGCAGCAGAGCTTGTGTCCACATGGAAGCAGCTGCCTGGGGCGGTGGGTTTCTCTATGCTGTGCTGTACACAGCCAGTACATTGTCACTACGGCTCCACCAAGGCAATGCTGTTGACCAGTTCTTCTGGGAAATTCCCCAAATCCTCAAGCTTGTCTGCTCAGACTCCTACCTCAGGGAAGTTCAGCTTATCGTGGTTAGTGTCTTTGTTGCATTTGGCTGCCTTGTTTTCATTGCACTGTGCTAGGCACAAAGCTTGAGGGCAGTGCTGAGGATCCCCTCTGAGCAGGGACGGCACAAAGTCTTCTCCACATCCCTCCCTCACCTGGCCATAATCTCCCTGGTTCTCAGCACTGCCATGTTTGCCTCCCTCAAGCCCCCCTCCATCTCCTCCCCATCCCTGGTCCTGGTGCTGTCCGTTCTGTACTCGGTGGTGCCTCCTGCAGTAAACCCCCTCACCTACAGCATGAGGAACCAGCAGCTCAAGGATGCCCTATGGAAACTGACCCAAGGGATGTAGTTTCACTGACAACAACCTGTCTCAAGTCACTTCACATTTCCCAGAGTTTATCTTAGGCCAGGAGTCTGCTATTTTCCCTGTAATAATCCTACATATAGATAATTTTCTGGACTTATACTACCTCTCTTGAGGATTTTTCCTGTTGTGTCTTACTCTTGTACCACACTGTGTCAGGTGTGACGTGTCCAATAGCAGCTCTTGAATAAAATGGGATCTCCTGGTTGCAGTGCCTGAAGGCTGGGTTCTGCCTCCAAAGTGGCTGCCAATAAAATGTCTAAGGAATTGGTCTTTTAAAATTCTTTTCTCCTTATGTTCTCCCTGTATTTGGAGTTAAGCTCACAGTACCATTGGGTTCCACTGGACAAAAAGTTCTGCTTTTAAAGGCTCTCTTCTTGGTGTAAGATGGTGCATGAGCTCCCCACTACCTCCTCAGGCTGCTTCATATATGCCAGGACTCATGGCATATAGCTGTCTTTATGGAAAATAATTTGGTCAGGAGAGGAGTAGGGGTCACCACATGCCCTGGGGTGGGAATGAATGGACACACATAAAGTGAAACACCCTTGAAGTTGATGTCCCCCAAAAGCAAAGCACTAAATCAAGGTATATGCAAGCAAGGACTCTGCAGTGCCCTGGGGGTCAGTGTGAACCCAGTGGGCATGGGAAAGGGAGACTGGAGAGGTGCAGGAGCTGCCTGAGGAGGCCCAGGGCCAGGACTCTTGTGCTGTGCTGGGGAGCAGGGCTGGTGGGGGAAGGGAAGGGTGTAAATGCAGTCGAGGTTAGGGACAACCTACCAGATGAATGCAGCAGAGCTAGAGACTGACTGGCCTCTGTTTCCTCCTGCCCTTTTGGCCAGCATCAGCCCTGGTGCTTGTGGGAAGGATGATCCCCCTGTCTGACCTCCAGGAGCTGCTGTGCCCTTCCGAGGAGCTGGAGCTGTGGTTGAGTGCCCAGAGTGCTGCAGCACCCTGTGGTGGGCACTGCCCTGGGGCCAGGGCAGGTGGGGAGAGCTGGGCTGGGGCTGGGCTGGGCTGGAAAAGTCCTGGAAGAGGAAACACCAGTGATACCCAACTCTACCACCATTACTAATAAAAAATAAACCAGTTTCCTACTGACACTCATGACGCACCAAGTCCCGTAGCTCTTGCCACAGCCAGTCTCTCAGCCAAGCCCCGTCTCAGACAGCTCCAGCTAGATCAGGTGCTCATGGGCTTGTCTTGACAAATACTGAAAATATCCATTGAGTGAGATCCCACCAACTGGCCAGGGTCCTTGATGCAGAGTTTGGCTCTGAGGGATTTCTCAGAACCCCAGCTCTCTCAGCCACTCCTTGTCCATAATGTGCTCCAGGCCCCAACCATCCTTCTGGCCTCCGCAGGACTCGCTCCAGTCTGTCAGGATCTTTCTTGTGCTGGGGAACCCCGTACTGGACACAGCAGTCCTGATGTGGTCCTGTGGTGGGTTAACTTTGACCAGCAGCCAGACAGCCACCCAGCTGCTCACTCACTCAGCCCACTCAACAGGACAAGAGGGAAAGCTCATGGATCGAGATGTGTGTGGGTCAAAGGAGAAACCAGAAACGATGACACTGTGGTAGGTGTTCAGTTTGGTTTACCCCAGCCAGCAGCTAAGCACCCACAGAGTCATTTGCTCACTGTCCTCTGCCCCCCACGACCCCAGCAGGACAGGGGAGGGAATTGG